TTTGAACAGAAAATATCCAAAATGGACAGGTTGACAAGGAAGAAGTACATGGGGGTGTGCAGCCCTGGGCTCAGCATGATGAGTGTGATGATGAGGCTGTTTCCTGCGAGACCTGCCAGGTAGAGGAAGAAGAAAAGGACCGAGAGCAGGCTCCGGACCTGTGGGTCTTCTGAGAAGCCCTGCAGAATGAACTCTACTACAGCTGTGTGGTTTCCTGCTGCCATCTGATGAACCTTTTGGGTCACTGGTCAGAAGGGAACAAAAATCCATGGGTGTCATAGTCTTTGACCAGGGCCCAGATCACAACCCACAAGGACAGGTTTGCATCTTCACCAAGAAAGTACACAACTAAGGCATCAATGTATCTCTTCTTCCTCAGATAGTCAGGGAATTACCTCTCACCCTGAACTTTTCTAGGCAGCCCCACCAGGTCCTCATGATAACCCTTGCTCACAGCTTTCCCCATTATAACCAACAGGTCTGTCCCCATCAATCCAGTTATTTGCACAGTGAATACAAAGTGTGTGTATTCACTTTAACTTAGTACATACCCTTTCTGATCCAGAGACTCACCAGTCTAGTCTTTCTCTTCATGTCCAGGACTCAACCCTGGTCAACCTAGGCACCAAGCTATGTCCATGGTGTTTGCAACCCAGGAAGAAAATGTTTTGTTACAGTGGGAACACCTAAGACTCTAAGCTCCTGGGACCAACACCACAGCAACAACTCAAGGAGGGACCGTCAGGGTCAGCGGCAGACTCAACTGTGCAGGTGTTTCAGGCACAAGCATTACTGTCCAGTCAGTCTCACACACTTTGGGCTGCTCTCCAAGAATTCAAAGACACTCATGTGGTAATGCCCATAGCAGCTGATCCATAGTCAGGAAGCCTGGCCCTACTTCAAAATCTATCCCATTAATCCTGGGCTGGTAGGAAGCTCATACCTTCAGGGAGTGCAAGGCTGTATAGGGTTACAGACAGCAGGAATGGGCATGTGCTGAGTCTAAGCACAGTTTCATGACCTCACCACCAATTCAGAGACCCAGATATTTGGGCAAGAACACACTCAGAGGCTAGTCTAATTCACCAATATCAATTGCCCCTCTGCTGATGTCATTTCAAACCCCAGTGGGTTTAGGAGAGTCCAAGATCTAGAGTCTTTTGGGGTAGACTGATGGCAACCCAGAGGCAAAGTCCCCACTACTTTACACCTTTTGAACACTTACCTGCTTACATGTAATGGAGATAGAAGACTACACACACAAAGGAATGTGTGCTCACCACTCTGTTCCTGGTGCTCAAGGATAGGAAAGTTGTGGTGTTTCTGACAGTTTTGATTGCTAGTTGATGAGTCTCTGAAGCCCTTCTGTGTGCCTGTACAAGACCAAGGTCAGCATAGCACTCTCATGTCAGCAGAATGAGAGAGCCTTGAGGAGTAAGATTGAGTTCACACAAGGTCTTTTCTCCTGAAGGTCCATGCCATGCCCCACCCAGTGGCACATGCCATGAGAACCCCCTAGCATCCAGCAACATCTTATACATGTAAGTGTGATGCCCCCTCACTCTTCACAGGCCTTCACCCATAAAACTGAGATCTTTCTAGCTTCATATCCACCTACAAGTTCACCACAGGCTGGACCACTGAACCCTCTCATCTCCTGAACCAGATTCATAGAAGACTTGGTGGCAGGTCTCCACTGAGTCAGAGACCACCCTCCCATATTAGAGAATGAAACTTTCATTGGAGATTAGGCACCTGCTTGGTTCCCCACTTACCATATCAACTGCACACATCAGTCAGCACAACCAGTAGATGTGTGGCAGGTCCTGGCACTTTAGCTTCAAACTAAAATAACAAAAGACGAAAAATGAGCAAAGTACATTTAGAGGATTTTTTCCCCACAACAAAATAGGTCACACTAAAAACAAAAGGTGTCTTCAAACAAATCAAGAGCAAAATTAGAAGAGATAATCCAAAACACCATGGATAGACAGATACACAGCTACTAGCACCTATTAATACTGTTCACGACGATACATCCCAATAATTTTTGTCTGAACATGATGCTGCATTTACATGGGAGATACATAGCATCTTACTCAGTTGGGAAGGTGAGCTATAACCTGTGTCTAATGGCCCATACTTGCTGCTTGATGGTTCCTGTGTTTTGCTATGGGCCTTTAACTGATGGCCATCTCCTCCAGAAGACACATCATCTGTAAAGGTGCCCAGGAGAGTAATTACCCCACCTGAAGGTAATAAGCCCCATGGGGCACAGTCCAAGGTGACTCAATTCAATGTTCAGGGTTCTGAATGTGACTTGGAACTGTGCTTCCAGGCCTGGAAATGACCCCATTATGGGGGTTGGAAACCCTGCATGTCCCATTAGGCTGACCCTGGCAACCAACCTGACAAGTCTTTAGGGGAAATCCTTGCCATGGCAGCTCAGATAAGAGCCTGTGTAAAAACCAACCCCTGTGGAAACATGGATTTCCACTTAAACAGTTTTTAGAACTGCTTTATTTTCACAAGCCCTGGTAGCACAGTGGGATAAGCAATGGGTGCTAACTATAAACATCAGAGATTCCAACACAGAAGCTGTTTATTGAGAGAAAGAAGGGACATTCTGATTCTGACAAAATTTACAGCCACAGAAACCCTATGGAGCAGTTCTAGTCTTTCTTTTAAGGTCACTCTGAGTTGGAATTTAGACAAAAGCCATGGTTTTAGTGGGCTCTTCAATTTCCATATCAGGATTCTTACACTGCTACAAAGTTGAGAGAATGGTACAAACACATCCCGTACACCCCTCACCCAGTTCTCTTGAGATAGGATGGTACATTTGTCACAACAGATGGATCAGAATTAATACATGATTACTAACTGAAGTCCACACTTCATCCACTTTCCCCTAATGTCATTTCCCCACCCACACAGAACCCCACCAGTGACCCAGTTATTGTCATGTCTCCTGAGGCTCTTCTTCACTCTGACCCTGGTTGGATTAAGGCCTCTCTGTGCCCCAATGAGCTCTGCCAAAAATGTGCAAACAGGAGAGAACAAACAAGATGGCGGATCGGGTGGACGTATAGCAGAGAGCTCCGCCAACAACCACACAAAATACCTGATGAAGCAGGCTCA